TTTTAATCTTAGAGTAGGGCCATATAATAAGTTTTAAGCATCAGGTTTATATAAAACCTCCAGAAGATTCCAACATACTTGATTCAATTGAAATTAGTTTAGTTATAGAGTGTTTTTATCTCGTGAAAATACCTGTTTTAAATGCATTCACAATGTACAGTAAATATTACTCAATCTATTGCTTCAACTATCCAATCCCAGATACTTCTCACTTCCTTAACAAATTCAAGCAACTCTATACCAGGAATAACATCTTAAGTTCCCGTCGATGGCATAATAATGGAGAACAATGACCAATCCCCATCATAACCTAAAAAAAAAGGCTTGCCACTGAAATTTTAAATCTCATGGAAGGAACTTCATTTGAACTCTACTCAGACAATAAAAAAACAAAGAAAATCAAAAAATCGACCAATTATAATCACAATATAACAACAAAAGGTTTGCCATTAAAATTTGAGGTACCACCGAAGAAATTTTACCTGAAATTAACTCAGACAAAAAAAAAAAACAAAAAATCGACCAATCACAATCTAACAACAAAAGGTTTGCCATTGAAATTTGAACTCCCACCGAAGAAACTTCACCTGAACTCTACTCAGACAATAAAAAAACAAAGCAAAACAAACAATCGACCAATTATAATCACAATCTAACAACAAAAGGTTTGCCATTAAAATTTGAATTCCCACCAAAGAAACTTTACCTGAACTCTACACAGACAATAAAAAAACAAAGAAAAATAAAAAATCGACAATCTAACAATAATAGGCTTGCCATTGAAATTTGAGTTCCCATCAAAGAAACTTCACCTGAACTCAACTCAGATAATAAAAAAGCAAAGAAAAACAAAAAATCGACCAATTATAATCACAATCTAACAACAAAAGGTTTGACATTGAAATTTGAACTCCCACCGAAGAAACTTCACCTGAACTCTACTCAGACAATAAAAAAACAAAGCAAAACAAACAATCGACCAATTATAATCACAATCAAACAACAAAAGGTTTGCCATTAAAATTTAAATTCCCACCAAAGAAACTTTACCTGAACTCTACACAGACAATAAAAAAACAAAGAAAAATAAAAAATCGACAATCTAACAATAATAGGCTTGCCATTGAAATTTGAGTTCCCATCAAAGAAACTTCACCTGAACTCAACTCAGATAATAAAAAAGCAAAGAAAAACAAAAAATCGACCAATTATAATCACAATCTAACAACAAAAGGTTTGACATTGAAATTTGAACTCCCACCGAAGAAACTTCACCTGAACTCTACTCAGACAATAAAAAAAAAAACAAAGAAAAACAAAAAATCGACCAATCACAATCTAACAATAAAAGGTTTGCCATTGAAATTTTAACTCACATCGAAGAAATTTCACCTCAACTCAGACAATAGAAAACAAAGAATCGACCAATCACAATCTAACAACAAAAGGTTTGCCATTGAAATTTGAGCTCCAACCGAAGAAATTTCACCTGAAATCAACTCGACAACAACAAAAAACAAAAAATCGACCAATTATAATCTAACAACAAAAGGCTTGCCACTGAAATTTTAACTCCTACCGAAGTGAACTTTACTCAGACAATAAGAAAACAAAGAAAAACAAAAAATCGACCACTCACAATCTAACAACAAAAGGTTTGCCATTGAAATTTTAACTCACATCGAAGAAATTTCACCTGAACTCAACTCAGACAATAGAAAATAAAGAATCGACCAATCACAATCTAACAACAAAAGGTTTGTCATTGAAATTTGAGCTCCAACCGAAGAAATTTCACCTGAATTCAAGTCAGACAACAAAAAAACAAAAAATCGACCAATTATAATCACAATCTAACAACAAAAGGTTTGACATTGAAATTTGAACTCCCACCGAAGGAACTTCACCTGAACTCTACTCAGACAATAAAAAAAAACAAAGAAAAACAAAAAATCGACCAATCACAATCTAACAATAAAAGGTTTGCCACTGAAATTTTAACTCCCATCGAAGAAATTTCACCTGAACTCAACTCAGACAATAGAAAACAAAGAATCGACCAATCACAATCTAACAACAAAAGGTTTGCCATTGAAATTTGAGCTCCAACCGAAGAAATTTCACCTGAAATCAACTCGACAACAACAAAAAACAAAAAATCGACCAATTATAATCTAACAACAAAAGGTTTGCCACTGAAATTTTAACTCCTACCGAAGTGAACTTTACTCAGACAATAAGAAAACAAAGAAAAACAAAAAATCGACCGATCACAGTCACAATCTAACTGAACTTCCACCTGAAATCAATTTAAACAACAAAACACCAAGAAAAACAAAAATCGACCAATTATAATCACAATCTAACAACAAAAGGTTTGCCATTGAAATTTGAGCTCTCACCGAAGAAATTTCACCTGAAATCAACTCAGACAACAAAAAAACAACAAAGAAAAACAAAAAATCGACCAATCACAATCATCATCGACTCAGAACATACCAAATATTGAAGTCATTCAATCATCCCAATCTGTATGTCGTTGTCATTGTTAATTAAATACACTGCATATGTCTATAAAACATTTTTAATTGCGTGTTTATTAGTAAATTGTACGAGAATAATCATCGTGACTTTAATAAAACGGAAGTGTATCAATTTTTCGTCAAGCAAAGAAGTGTATTATTTGATTAATTTATATATAGAAATCTAATTTTGTCTAATGCTATGTCTAGATGTTCTTATCCGAGAATTGGTAGACTATGCAACCAAAAATGCACAGAGATGTATTTTAGGTTGCCTAACAATTACTTTAAAACGAGGGATTATGGCGAAGATGTAAGGGACGTGGATTTCGAGGTTATGTACGAAATTGATCGATCTGATGGATATAGAACCCTCTTAATTAGATACCAGGTACTTCGATATTATGCGGTTATTTCAATGAGGATCAGAAAATAAAAAACAAAGGATTTATGTCAAAAAATTCAATAAATACGTGCCACCAGCTAATACTCGAAAAAGCTAACGTAACTAAACAGCAGGAATGACAAGACTGCTCAGGTCGTACCTCGGCGGAAAGCAATTCCGGATCAAGATGGAACATGTCCTATCAAGAACTGGAATTCTAGAAGCGGGAGTACCCTAAGGGGCGGTATTGTCACCACTGCTGTTTACCATTTACACAGCAAGGACTCATATCAAGATATCTACAAGACATAGAAGAATGGTGCGTAAAATGGAACATAAAGATCAACGCAAAGAAGACGCAGGCAGTGCTGTTCAAGAAGAGGCATCACCCCCCAGGAAAAGAAGTAACAATGAATGGACCGACTCAGCCAGGTACCTAGGAGTTATAATGGACTAAAGACTCACCTTCAACAAACACGTAGACATGGTAGTAAATAAAACGAAACAGGCAATATCCAGACTAAACTGCCTAATAGGATGCAAGAACAAACTCCTACTACAGACAAAAATGAGACTTATACAAGCAGTCATAATAGCCATCCTCATGTACGCCTCGACGGCATGGGGATACACCTGTAAAACAAACAGGAAGAAGATCCAGAGCCAGCAGAACATCAGCTTGAGATAGGCCAAGAAGTGGATTATCGTAATCAGTAGGGATCTAGAATCCAAAAGGGTCCTAGATCTCATCCACAAGAAGACCACTGACACCTTCGAAAAACTAAGGACCCACCCGAACATGAAATTAAGAGAATTAACAGAATACGAGAGAGCGGACTACAGAAGACATGCCAGACCACACAAAGTGCTGGACTACGGCGGCGAGTGACCAAAACCTTAGAGGGTGCAAAATTTAAGACGCTCATAGATTTTAAGATTCTCTTTCAGAATACTCTTACAGAACGCAACACGCGAATCAGACAAGGACTGAGCAACTGACGACTATCCACCTGGGGAAAAAGGCCCTGCCAGTCGCCAAGTAGGAGACTGAGGGGTAGCTTTCACAGAACGTGTACACACAAGACAAACAAACGGGCGACGAAAAAGGGAAATGCCCTCAGCAACTCCTCTCTAAATGCTGATAATATGTCATCCTTCACAGCCCTTTAAGAAGGAATTGCATACTAATCAAAGGATTGAAATTTGAGGACCCCTGTAGAGAAGATGTCAGAGGGAGGAAAGGTGGGTTCTGGCGGGTTTCGATCCAGTATAACAGGATGGGAACCTTTCCCGACTTGGGCTCAATTACTGTGTGTGTGTGTCAGATTTTTAATGTTATGATAGATATACGGTTAATGTTATCCGTTGAATTATTGTAAAAGTTGAATGGAAACAACAAAATGGAGCCTAAATAGAGCTAATTGGGATATTTTTTCCAAAGCGACCCATACAAGTTTAGAAAAGATGAAATTTAACGACCATAATGACTCCACAATCTCATATTTTAATAGAATAGTCTTAAAAGCTGCCCATGCAATCTATAGAAGAATTTAAATTTTTTAAATATTGCAAGTCCATGCACTGGTGAAAAGACGAGTACGCTGCTGCGTACACATTCGCATGAAATAAATACAAAAAACATATCGAATTAAAAAAGAAGATAAGTAAAAAATAAAAGGAATCTTGGCAAAAAAATGTTGAAAGTATAAATAGTAATACCACTATAACTGAAGTCTGAAAAAAGATAAGACAAATCTCAGGTGGTACATTATATGAAAGGAAACCGGCTCTTGAAAAAGATAATAACATTGCATACTTAACGTTTTTTTCGAAATCGATTTTCAAAATACTTTATATTATAACAAATTTTCGTTTATGTATACTAGACATTTTACTAATTTTTCGCTTGTTTTTCAAGTCTCTCCTCTGAATTAAATTTTGATGTGTTGCTAAATCAATTTTCAAAATACTTTATATTATAGTAAATTATAGAAAATTGAGACAAGTATCATCGAAAAAAGACGAAAAGTTACTATAAAATAAAGTATTTTGAAAAACGATTTAGAAAGACATCAAGTTTTAATTCAGAGACTTCAAAAACAAGCTAAAATATAGTAAAATGCCCCGTATATAAAAACGGAGAGAGATATAAAATCGAGACAAGTACTATCGAGAAGAGACGAAAATTTATTATAAAATAAAGTATTTTGAACATCGATTCAGAAAGACATCAAGTTTTAATTCAAGGGAGAGACGTCAAAAACAAGGTAAAATATAGTAAAACGCCCCGTATACAAAAACAGATAGAGATAGAAAATTGAGACAAGTACCATCGAAAAGAGAGGAAAATTTACTATAAAATTAAGTACTTTGAACATCGATTCAGAAAGACATCAAAATTTAATTCAAGGGAGAGACGTCGTCAAAAACAAGCCAAAATATAGTAAAACGCCCCGTATACAAAAACAGATAGAGATAGAAAATTGAGACAAGTACCATCAAGAAGAGACAAAAATTTACTATAAAATAAAGTGTTTTCAAAATCGATTTAGAAAGACATCAAGTTTTAATTCGAGGGAGAGACCTCAAAAACGAACTTAAATATAGTAAAATGCCCCGTATACAAAAATAAAGAGAGATAGAAAATTGAGACAAGTAGCATCGAAAAGAGAGGAAAATTTACTATAAAATTAAGTACTTTGAACATCGATTCAGAAAGACATCAAGTCTTAATTCAAGGGAGAGACCTCAAAAACAAGCTAAAATATAGAAAAACACCCTGTATACTAAAACGGATAGAGATACGAAATTGAGACAAGTACTATCGAAAAAAGACGAAAATTTACTATAAAATTAAGTATTTTAAAAATCGATTTAGAAAGACATCAAGTTTTAATTCAAGGGAGAGACTTCAAAAACAAGCTAAAATATAGTAAAATGCCCCGTACACAAAAAAGGAGAGAGATAGAAAATTGAGACAAGTACCTTCGAAAAGAGACGAAAATTTACTATAAAATAAAGTATTTTGAAAATCGATTTAATAAGACATCAAGTTTTAATTCAAGGGAGACCTCAAAAACAAGCCAAAATATAGTAAAATGCCTCGTACATAAAAAAAGAGAGAGATAGAAAATTCATACAAGTACCATCGAAAAGAAACGAAAATTTACTATAAAATAAAGTATTTTGAAAATCGATTGAAAAAAACACCAAGTTTTAATTCAAGGGAGAGACGTCAAAAACCTCCTAAAATATAGTAAAACGTAAAGTATACAAAAACGGGGAGAGATAGAAAATTGAGACAAGTACCATCAAAAAGAGACGAAAATTTACTATATCTATCTTTATACGTTAATGTATACTAGACATTTTTCTAAATTTTTGAAGTCTCTCACTTAAATTAAAAATTGATGTCTTTCTTAATCGATTTTCAAAATACTTTATATTACAGTAATTTTCCTCTCTTTTTAATGATACTCGTCTCAATTTTCTATCTTTATACGTTTTTGCATACTTGGCATTTAACTAAATTTTCATGTTTTTCAAATTTCTAAAAATTTCCATGGTAAAATGTAACCAATTTTACAGTATATATAGCTTTTACAACCTTTTTATGAGATGTGAATTTTAAATCAGATATTATGACTAATTTTTAAGATACAGGGCGTTAAAGTGAAGAATTGCTGATTTTAGTTTTTTTTTTTTTTTTAAATATATATGTATAAGATTAATATAAGTTTTGGTCAGATGTCCATAAAAAGGGACAGTTTACGATATTTACTGTTACAGGTTGATTCACGAATAAATCACACTATATTTTTGCAACTTTATTGTCCCCTGTATAAAAACTTGTCACTTATATCGAAAAATGATGTGTATACTGATATATTCTGTAAGTAAAATTATAAAATAGTTAGATTACCCTGTATATTTTAAAATCTTATGATTACATACCTAATGTAACGTTATTAACTTACTCAAAAGTCACTAAAGAAATAAGGTCTCATTTTAATAATTTAAAAACATAATTAATCCTTAAAAAAATAATTTTATGTTGTTTCGCCCTGTGTCAATACGGTTCAGTTGTAGATTAGGAGTGAAGAGACATGTAGTGTGAAGCATGTGAAGGGATAAATTGAAGGATATCAATGAATAGCTAATTGGTTTTAAAATAAAAATGAATGAAACTTTAATTTTTATAACCCCTCTCTAAACTTATACAGAATTTAGATTTTTCCTATAAAAACAATTCAAATGAGGAAAATTACAAACCTCGATTTGCACATAATATTCCAAACATTCAAATACCAAAAATAGACTAAAGTTCAGTGCAAATATTACTAATTTTACTCATCATATTCAAAATAGTCACATTAGAAAATATTCCAAATGGAAGTCTTAGGAAATTACTGAAATATTGCACTACTCGGATGGATAGCTTACGTTAACAGCCACATTATTTTTTTTTAATCTAATTTTTTCGGGATATAATCAAATTATATATAATATACAAGCAATGGCAATCAAACAAATAAATAAATACTTACATCACATGTTCGTTAAAATAATATTTCTATGTACACAACTAAAGTAACTCTGGTATATTCAAGAAACGATATTAAAAATAAAAAACTATCGAGTATAACTTAGTGGAGCTATACAAAATTAATTTAAAGCTATGTCTTTTGAAACCGGAAGTACGGCAATCCCACCTTATTCTAACTTTATATAAAGTAATATCTATATTATTTTGATATGTTAAGTACGTAAACACAATTGTGAAAAGATTAATATCAAGTTTATATTAAAAAATGATAAAAGAATTAATTAAAAAAAATATTATTTTAGAGTAAGTGGATTATCTTAACACTGCACGAATTTACAAACTATAGTTTCATGCAGTGTTGCATCGTTCATGAGATAATCCACTACCTCTAGTTTGGCATACTCTTTAGTAGTTCATTTGTCCCATTTTTAATTTTTTGGTTTTAGGTCGAAAGAATTCGAATTTACTATGAAATGGTAATCTTTACCAATCGTAAATTAATAAAAATAACTTGGAGAACTTTTTCTATTTACATTATAATAAATAATAAGAATCAGGTGGGACTCCAACGTTTGCAGTTTATCTACAAAAAAAGTATAATAAATAACTATTAAAAAAAAAAAACGTTTGGTACAATTTGAATAAAAAGTAACAATCGAGGCCACTACCGAAACCGGAAGATTTAACTAAATATATCACAAAAAGCACCAATGTTTGCATTTCGAGTCTCCCAAACTAAACCGCACGAATTCAAATTATACCAGACGTTTCGAAAATAAAATAAAATAGTACGGATACGTGTTTAGGATATCGCACAGTTGCTATCCTTCGCTGGTAACTCAATGTGAGATAAATCTTTCTCTATGATCTCGTCGTCTTCAATTCTGAAAAGTATTGTTAAAAATCAGTATCGTGCTAATTAAAATGCGTAATAGTGCATTAGTGATGACGTAAATGCGTGTCAAACAAGATTGAGAATGACAGTAGTAGCCCAGTATAAGTAATAATTAGGCATTCCAACGACCTGTCAAACAATAGGTGCCAGTGGGAAATTCTTGTATATCTAAGGGGGTAGCGACATAGTCTTGCAACTTGGACGCTAATTTTATTCAAAGTAGTAGTCGCCAAGCCTGCCAATTTATGAAGAAATGTATAGGTGGGTTTTTTAAATATTATTTTTATTGTGTTTGACATAAAATATTTAAATGATTTTACGTAAAGTAGATAGAATACACCATATGTCGCCACCCTTAGATATAACAAACCTGCCCACTGGTAATTCATTTGTTTGGAATGCCTAATACAGTAGCGACATATAAGAGTTTTATATCTTATTCAAACAGACAAAGGGGCAAGTTACTTTTCTCAGTGTAGAAATAAGCGAAAAACTGACAAAGGAACCGATTTATGTCGCTACTGTATTATTAATTGTACTTCCTGGTTTTGTCTCATTAAACTTTGTAGTCCCACTTTGGGCCCAGTTCGATCTACCATTTTTAGAGAACTATTCATATTCAAAAAAGAAAATATCATACTTCTATTTCGCGATCGTATTGACGGTCCAGTAGCCACTTATCGCTAGATCGTATTCTTTTTCGTCGTCGGTCACAAACGTCACTTTTCGTTTTGGTATCAACTCGATAAGACCTTTTTAGATGTCACAAAAGAAAATTGAAAAATCTGATGTGTCCAATACATGACTTTCCTATCTAATTATTATAGGCTTTTTCCGGTTATTTTGTACAACTTATTGCAGCACCTCTATAAATGTTTACAAGGATAAATTAAATATATACATTTTCCACATACATCTACCTCGAAACATTTTTCTATATTCTTTGAAAACGAAAATACTGAAAAATTTAAATTTAGCATGTTTCCTACAATTTTTCCATTACGGTCCATTTTAGAAAAATCATGTATAAACAAAAATTATAGAGATCGATATCGCAAAAAACTTTTATTTCAACAATTTTCATAAAAATCAGAATTTTGCACATTTTGTCAAATTTCTCGAATACGGACCATTTCAGAAAATTTTGACATAAAACAAAAATTATAGATAATAATATTAGAAGTAACTTTTATTTTTTTTTCTCCAAACATAAATAACAGATATATTCGATAAAATATAAAAACGGCCTCCCATAAAGTACCCCCCCAGATGTTCCGACTTTGTCCAAAATCTAATCATTTCACGTCAGGCCGAAATAAAACTTAAGTTTAAAATTTAATGTTTTTTCTTTATCCGTTTTTGAGTTTTCTTCAAATTTCGAAATTTACACATTTTCTCAAATATCTCGAATACGGTCCATTTTAGAGAGATTATGTATGGGATAAAAATTATAAAGAATTATATTACAAACAACTTTTGTTTGAACAATTTTTATAAAAAAATATTTTTTTACATTTTGTCAAATTTCTCGAATACGGACCATTTTAGGAAAATTTTGTTTAGAACAAAAATTATAGATAATAATATAAGAAGTAACTTTTATTTGAAGAATTTTCTTCTCCAAACGTAAATAACAGATATATTCCATAAAATATAAAAATGACCATTTATAAAGTACCCCCCCCCCCCCAGATGTTGCATCGAAAACTGGAGGTTGAAAAAAATCATGATTTCTATACTTTCCTTATATCTGTAGGATAGATAGGAAAGTAAAAATACATAATTTGAATACATTGAATTCAAATTAGGTATTTTTTTTCATAGGGAAATACACCTATGGTTAGGTTAGATAGATATTTAGATCTATCTAACCTAACCATAGGTGTATTTCCCTATGAAAAAAATACCTAATTTGAATTGAAGTCCACCGTCCGACCAGATTTTTACGTCTAGTCGGTGTTTAATCCATATATACCGGGTGTTTAAATTAAAATTTTACAATTAAATATCGGCGAAAAAACGTTTTTTATAAAAAAATTTGATGTGTCCAACACATGACTTTCCTATCTAGTTATTTTAAAAGTAATTGTCTTCTTTTTGGCTTCAACATTGTTCCATTTATATTCACGAAATTGATGAAAGCAGTGTTGAGAATTTTAAGACTAAAGGGCATTATCTGTTAAGCTTTTAACAATATTGGGTTCGGCAGTACATTTTGAGAAGTATAAGATTATTAGCTCCAACATATGTCAATATTTGAGATTTGTATTCAATTCTGTTAACATGAGAGAGAAAACAAGAGAAAATTCGGGGCCATATCAGGTCTTTATCAAATAGAAATTCAGCCGTTTTCATTGGCACGCTTGTGTCTATCAGTCCGGCCATCAAATATGGATGGATGTATATGAAATTGTTTTGAAGAGAAACAGTTTTGTACCTTATAAGTACCAACTACAATTATCGTACTAGAATTTCTATAAACCTATCTTTAGGCTTTAAAAAGCTCTTCAAATATTCTTCTAATATTAATAATAATTAATAATACGACTACAGTATCGTTTATCAATCGAATGGGTGAGATTCGGTTTCCAAAGTTGTTACTAAATTTACTTGTTAATAGGAAAGTCATTGCATTTATGTTTTTCATTTCATTTTATTTGCTGGTAGTAAACTGTGGTCGCTCTTTAAACATCTACAATGTAATACCGAGACAAAACCAGGAAGTACAATTAAAAGATCAAATGACTTACCTGTGAGAAAATTTGATCATAATTGTACGACTGGTTTTGTCGAAGGTATTACAAACCCACCCAATAACATTAAAAAATGACCTTTTAGTGCAAAATTACTGTTGACCCAGTTTACAGATTTATTTCAAGTGACGTTTGTGACCGACGACGAAAAAGGATACGATCTAGCGGGAAGTGGCTACTGGACCGTCGATACGATCGCGAAATACAAGTATGGTATTTTCTTTTTTAAGTATGAATAGTTCTCTAAAAATGGTAGATCGAGCTGAGCCCAAAGTGGGACTAAAAAGTGTAATAACTTCGACAAAACCAGTCGTACAATTATGATCAAATTTCTTCACAGGTAAGTCATTTGATTTTTTAATTATATTGGGTTAGTAGCCCAGTATAAGTAATATTACAGTAGTGACAGGTGGTTGATTGTTTTGATCATAAATTAGATATTTTTAAAATAAATTGTAAAGTTTAAAAATCTAAAATTATTTACAATCAACCGCTATTACAGAACAGATTGACGATTTTTAATGATAAAATTAAAATGTAAATTATATTAAAATTTCCAAAAGGATTCGTTTAGAAAAGAATATAACAGTCCTTGATTAAAGTTGCTTACGCTTTTTCCTGATTATCTAAATGATGAACCAATTCATCTCTTTTATTGACTATTTGAACCAGTTCCTCGAGTAAAACTTGTTCTCTATTACGTTGCTCTTCTGTTTTTCTCCAATCTTCGATCGATGCTATTTCTTGAAGTTCCGCATTAAGCTTTTTATACCTAGTTTCAAGATCCGCTTCTTTTTCTCTAAAATTAACAAATAATACAAGATCAAAACGATAAACATTTCACTAAAAATACAATTTAAGAAACCCCCCTATTAAGGACCATGCCCGAATCCCAGGGGTGAATACTCAAATCAAGTCTCCAAGAATGTGTTTTCACCTCTGGGTCTTAATAATTCGTAGAGGGATTTTTATTCTTTAGATATACTGATTTTTCGTATTTTGATTTGCAAATTCTCAATATTAAATTACAATTTTTATTGTGGATTAGGAGTTTCTTATTGAACCAGCAGTCCTGCGAAAGAATAAATAGACAGCTGTCAAACAAGCATCCAGTAGAAAGAGACGTTGAAGAAACTTCTGGAGACTCAAGACGAAGAGATACCCAGTGATTTTTATTTTTATTCTTCAAATATACTGATTTTTCGTATTTCGCTTTGCGATTTCTCAATATTAAATTACAATTTTAAGTCTAATTATTGTATACAAAAAAAAAACTTACAATATATTAAGTTGCATCTGCCGCCTGAGCAAGGCGTTCTTTTTATTTACAAACATGAACCATTTCGCCATCAGCGCTTCCTCGTCTTCTCCATTACTTTCGCTGGATTCCATGACGGATCTGAGTTGTTTTTCTAAAATGGCGGCTTGTTCGTCGATGGCGCGCTGTTCTCGCTCCAGGTCTTCCATTTCTTTGTCTATCCAAGAATGTACATCTATTCCCATCTAAAAATGACAAAAAATCTTTCATAGATACCCACAAGTATCTTAGATTTAGGGCCATTCGCATTGCTAGTAGTTCAGAAATAAGCGAAGCTTCAATGGAGAAATTTCATTTTAAGCTTGGCTTATTTCTTAACTACTAGCGGTGCGAATGGCACTTAAAGCTTTGTAGTTATTTAAGTACGCTTTATATCTGACAATTTTTTTATGTAGATGCAAAACCAAACTTCATGAATATTTTCACAATATATAGAACTAATTCTTAATCTAAAATATGGAAAAATCACTGTTATCTACATCTCAATTTGGGTTTCGATCAAGTAAAACACTACCGATGCTATGTTTTCCGTTTTCCTGCTACAGTGTTTGGTGATTTATCCATAGTTCTAGACTGTGTAAATCACAAAATATTGGATCCCGAGGATCTGCATTTAATCTTGAAAGAGTAAAACCAAATTTGGTAGATTTTCACACTTTTATTTTAAAAATATAAAAATTTTTAAAAACACTAACATGACATATGTTTCGAAGTACAACTTCTTTTTCAAATGTGACTAATTTACAATTCGGTATTCAATATATATATACGAAATAATTTAACAAAACAAAGTACTTAAGAAAAACATAAATAACATTACAAAATAACTATTTAAAGTAAATAAGGGTACTTAGGTAATTATAATATCCATCAGATAACAATAAGATAGCACATTACCGGGATTATCTCACAGAAAACTAGGAAAGAGATTTAATAAAGGTGAATTATTAATATCTAATTGATCATTTAGTAAGTTATCTGAATTTTTAAATTTATTTATTTCAAGTGTTTCTAAATGGTTTAATTTAAGGCTCTTATTTTCTATATGTAAAAGTTCAAAGTTGTCTGTAAAAGAATGATTTTCAGCTAAAATATGATTTGAGTAAGTAGAATTATTTTTGTTTTTTGTATAGCTATTATAATGTTCGAATAGCGTTTTTTGAAAGTACGGCTTGTTTGACCAATATACAATTTTGGACAACTACCACAATTTAATTTATATACCCCCGATTTATTATTAGGATTAATTTTACCCTTATTGTTTTTAATATACTTCCCAAGCGTATTATTGGTTTTAAAAGCTACGTTAATATTTTGGTTTTTTAAATATGATGATACCTTTTCACTAGGAGCTGCAATATATGTAAGACTCTTATATCTGCAATTTTGATCTTTAATTATGGGATAAACTTGTTGAATAGCCCGTTTAAAAAGTTTTTTCTCTAAAATGTTGTCTACTAACTTTGAATTAAAATTATTATTTACTGCGATTTGTTTAATGATATTTAATTCTTTTGTGAAGTTCTCTTTGGTAAGGGGAATATTAACTAATCTATGGATCATACTGTTGTATGCTGCCAGCTTTTGTTTGTATGGATGAGATGAACTATTATTTATTGTAATATAAGTATGTGATGGCTTATGAAATATCCCAAAACTATGGCCTTTATTATTTTTCTAAAAAATTAATTGAATTATCCTTCTCTGTTTCCATAGTAAATTTAATATTAGGGAGTATAGTATTGATAAAAAAAATTTTTATATTTTTAAAATAAAAGTGTGAAAATCTACCAAATTTGGTTTTACTCTTTCAAGATTAAATGGATTTTCATCAAGTAAAGGCCGAAACAATAAATAATTTGATCTGCATTTAGCCTAAAAACTATAACCAGCACACTATTGTCAGCTAGCAAAACATTAGAGCATATATTTGTTAAAGTCCAAATCAACAACTTATTTTTCACCAGGAAATGCGCCAGAAAAATATGTGGAGTTTATTGAAAATTTAGAAAACAAATATCCAGAGCATAAACTCTCATTAATTCATACAAATTCCTTCATTTTTATGCTTTTATCATAACCTTTATTAAGTTGACTCAGAATTGTTAACAACAATTTACTTGATTTGATTTTTATTCAAGATAGTGAAACAGAGACATTTGCAGTTGAGGAAGCCTTATTCCAAAAGATATTCATCATCCACCTCTGTCATTTGAGATTAAATATGAAGCACATTGTTTTAACAACTCGGGATTGAATAAATGTGGAAGAAGTGACAAATTTTCTTTCCTAGTTTAATTGGGATGTTTTATTAAGAGATATGATTAATATCATTTATGAAATTGTGTACTTGACAATTGATATTTTTGTAGCTTTAAAGAAGTTTCCTGTTTGGTTATCCTCGGAGCTAAAACAAGCGGTAATTAAAAAGAAAATGCATAAAAACTACTTGGACTGTAGATCACTAAATGATTATAATGAATTTTCTTTATTAAGGGCTTACTGTAAACACTTAAGAACACAATGTTATCGAAGTTATGTTACATCAACGGGACGATGTTAAAAAAATTTGGAAATTTGTAAACAGTAGAAAAGACAAAAGTTATATTCCTTCAACAATGCACTATGAAAATACCACTAGTTCCTCTGGCACTGAGATTGTCAATTTGTTTACTGAGTATTTTTCTAAAACTTATAGTGATAAAGATTATATTCTGGTAATATCAACCTATCACAATTTTGCATATCTATCTTATCAATCTATGAAAAACTATCAAAATTGGATATTAACAAAGGGAACTCCCTACGTACTTCATTTTAGGGCCTGTCCCGTTGACCCCTGGGTCATTTTGCTCTCTCTTACCGTTTCCGAGATATTCGCGTTTGAAGTTTTTGACCTTGATTATTGCCAATTATATATAACCAAATTTGCATCAAAATCTGAGGAAAAAAAATTCTACTAAAAAAGTTTGATTTTTTGAAAAAATAGAAAAAATTTAAAATTTGCATACGCATAGAATACTCAGTTTTTTCTAACAGCAATAATAAAAAAGTTGTGGCTCATTTAACAAAGAAATTTTTTAAATAATTGCATTTTATGCACATTTTTATTTCTGATTTGGCATCAGAATAAAGGGAATATGAAAAGGTGCAGGAAAAATTTGTAAATTTTTATTTCGAAGAACGGGAATTCACAAATCAAAGTTTATTTTCCTATTTATAGGATTATTTATTAGTTGACAGGCAACACAGAATACACCAGTGTGTAATTATGGTTGCCAGTTGTAAATTGTACAGCTTTAGCTAATAGATGGAGCTTGTGTATTTTATCCGCCATTTATTATCCACCTTCTTGCGCTTTCTGATACTTTTTGTGCTTTGAAATCGATTTATTTAAGAAATAAAAACAAAGAAGTCGATTAACGATGTTTATTTGTGAAAACTCTATATATATATATATATAAAATTGTTTGTCCTGACTGACTGGCTGACTGACCTATCAGCGTGTAGCCAAAACTACTGAGCCTAGAAAGCTGAAATTTGGAACATAGGTTTATTTTATAACGTAAGCATCCGCTAAGAAAGGATTTTTGGAAATTTTAACTTTAAAGGGGGGAAATGGGAGGAAATGGGGGAGGGAGCTTTTAATGAAACTCTTTGTTCTTTAAAGTTAGAAACATGAAAATTTAAATTACAGCTGCTGGGCAAAAATAAATAATGACGTGTTTCAGGGTTTTTAAATTTTTACATTTTAAGGGGGGGAAAACGGGGGGTGAAAGTTTGTATGGGACTATCGATTTTTTTTGTTCTCTATGAAGTTAGAAACATGAAAATTGGAATTGCAGCTACTAACTACAAATTATTAAAGACGTGTTTCAGGGTTTTTGGATTTTCACATTTTTAGGGGGGAAATGGGGGGTGAAAATTTATTTGGGATTATCTATTTTTTTGGTTTTCTTTAACGTTAAAAACATGAAAATTGGAATTGCAGCTCTGAGTTCAAATTAATAATTTTTGTTCTCTTTGAAGTTATAAACAGGAAAATTGGAATTGTAGCGAATGAATACAAATTAATAATGACGTGTTTTAGGGTTTTTAGATTTTCACATTTTAAGGGGGGAAATGGGGGATGGGAAGTTTATTTGGAAATATCGATTTTTTTTAAAGGTAGGAACTTGAAAATTGGAATTGTAGGTTCTCATCATAAATAAATAATGAAGTGTTTCAGGGTTTTTGCATTTCAACATTTTAAGGGGAAAAATGGGAGGTGAAAATTTGTTTAATAGTATGCATATATTTTTTTGTTATTTAAAGTTTGAAACATAAAAATTTGAATTGCAGCTACAGACTAAAAATAAAAAATGATGTGGTTTTTGGATTTTCACAATTTAAGGGGGAAAATAAAGGTGAAAATTAACAAAAAATAATAAAAATTAATAAAAAGTAATAAAAATTATTAAATATAAATAAAATTTATTAAAAATCAATAAAAATTAATAAAAAATAAATAAAAATGTATTATACTGAATAAAAATAAATAAAAATTAATAAAAAAGGAAGTCATATATTTTTTTAAATTAAGAACACGACTACATGCGAGCAAAGTGGCGAGCAAAAGCTAGTACATAATAAAAGCATAAATATTGACTCAGAAATTGTACATTTACATATAAACATACACGATAAAGAAACTGCTGCTTTGCTGGTGTATATAGTAAATAAATGACGTTCAGACATGCGAGAAAAAGAAACGACGCGGTATCAATGTTGTCAATCATAGATAGAGTCATCAGTCGATAGTGAGCTACCATCCAGTCACTGGCAACATCGATACGACGCATTCTTTCGTCTCCTGCTTATGCGAACTCCAACATGAACAAAATAGGACCAATAGTTTGATCTTTTCTGCACTACGTAAGCACAAAAGCATTTTTTAAAAAAGCTTAAAAGTAATGAGTTAAAAGCAAACAATTTTAGGTAATTAAAAAAAAATGCCTATGAGATTAAATTATTTCCTAGCAAATGTACGCGGGTATATCAAATATAAACGGGACCGTTTGAATTAAAAATTCCTGAGCTGTTATTGATCTGGAAAGAATTGATAGGCAGTTAGCCTTTACCTCCAAGAAGAGGAGAAAACCAATCAGAATTTGCTCGCGTCTCTTTTAGTATGTAAAGAAACCAT